AAAGAAAGAAAGAAAGAAAGAAAGAAAGAAAGAAAGAAAGAAAGAAAGAAAGAAAGAAAGAAAGAAAGAAAGATGGAGAAAGAAAGAAAAGAAAAAAAAATCCCCCAAGACCAATTATAACCAAAATAAAAGGGCCTATATCAGATATTCTTAACTACTCCAACTACTGTTAAGCTTCAGGAAGTCACTAGTTGGGTACAGCTGTCCAGGATTAAACCTATTTTTGACAAAGTTCTGCAGACACTAAAGGTGGACACCACAACCTACATTTATAAAACCTAGAAAACTTAAAGCCTGTTTTTTTGTAAACACATAGAATAATGATGTGGTTCTGTGGGGGACATAGGAGCATTAATTTTTCTCTGTCTTTCAATTGTAATTTTTTGTTTAACCTCCTAGTAAAGTTTATATCTTCTAAATTTCATGTAAAGATGATACAGATTGTCACAAGGCTTCCAATCCATTCTGTCTTCTGACCCTAAAAATGAAAGCATCCTGCCATTTGGTCCCTTACTTCCAGTATTCAAAGATTTTTACTCCTCAAATGCTAGGGAAGGCCTGCACCCATAAAGTCAGTAGAAGCGCTTACAGAAAATTAACTTCTTCATTTCTGCAGTCCCCTTAAGATTAAGGAGGAGTATCTAATCTCTAAAGGGGGTATGAGGTAGGAGGTGGGTGGGAATCAACTCTGGACCAAATTGAAGACTAGCTAAAACAAGGAAGAGGCACTGGAAGCACCTGTCCATGAGACATACCCACAGTGCCATATCAGTTTACCATTGCCATGGCAACACCTGAAAGTTACTACCCATTTTCTAGCTAGTTCTGAGTAACCCACTCCTTAGTTAGCATGTCATCAAAAGTGGGGATATATATGACTGCAAAAACTGCTCCTACACTGCTACCCTTGGCACACTGCCTATAGGGTAGCTCTGCTCCACAAGAGCGGTCACAGAGCTGTAACACTGCCACCTCGGTAAAGCTGTTTTCTTCTACCACCAGCTTACACTTGCATTCCTTCCTGAATGAAACCAAGAACCTGCCTCGAACCACTTTTGTCAAGTTAGTTGCCATAAACTTATTTACCCTCTCCTTATTTTTTTACTCTTATAGACTATGGAATTACTTTCTCTTTTCCATTTATAATATTGTGTTTTGTGCCTTTTTATTTTCCCTCTTCTTTATACACCATTTACCAAGTAGTCAGAGGCTTTAATTCAGTTCTTTCTTGGTGGTAGCATGGTTCATGAGAAATGCTGATTCTTCTGGGTATGAGGCCATTCACCATTTTTACATGTAATACTGTGGAAAGTTCTGTGACATAAGCCTCTGCTTCACAAACTGATCACTGTCAAACATCATCTCCCAACCAATACAGAATGTTTCTGTTCCTCACTGGTGTAATTCACATAGAAGTAGAAGTCTCAAGTTAAATTATGGATTTGCACTTTACCACTTGGTGAATTAAGGAAGATAAATGATATTAATATATCAGTGGGGCCAGGCACAATGACTCACACCTGCAATTTCACCACTTAAAGAGGCAGAGGCGGGAAGATCACCTGAGTTCAGGAGTTCGAGACCAGCCTGGCCAACATGACAAAACCCCATCTCTACTAAAGATACAAAATTAGCCGGTTATGTAATCCCAGCTACTTGGGAGGCTGAGAGATGAGAATTGCTTTAACCAGGGAAATGGAGGTTGCAGTGAGCCAAAATCACGCCACGGCTCACCAGGCTGGGCAACAGAGCAAGACTCTATCTCAAAAAAAAAAAAAAAATAGTAGCTTTGAATTTTAAACATGTATTTGACAAGAAATTCACAGTTCTTTCTCTCTAAAATAGTGTAATAATTTTTTCAGGAATGAGCCCGGTTTGATGCCTCTCTTCCCAACATGATAGAAAGGTGGCATTAATCTATGAAAAATTCCATTTCCCTGTGCCTACAACCACTACGTGGGATTGAAAACTTCATCCCTTGCTCTAGTCCTTTCTTCTATACCCAGTTCCACCTAATTTATGACTCAAAACAATGCTTGTCAGGAAAGATTCTGGAAAGAGCAAAAAAGACTTCCTTAGAGATGTCAGACATTCCTGCACCACCATCTGTTCATCACTAGAGGGGGTTGTGGAAGAGCAGAGCTTGTAATATCTTCTACTTGCTTTCACTCCCACTGTATTTCCTAAAAACAACCACAGCAACACCCATAACGTGACACGACAAGCCTCTACTGCTTCCAAGGCTTTTATCTCAGTAAATCTTCTCTACCTCTATCTCAGGTAGCTAGAAGATTTGATACTCAGACAAATAGTGCTGTAGCTTTCTGGCCATAACTGGAAAAATAGGGAAGACCCAGTGTAATGCATGCATTCCTTAAGCCAGTTACCATTCAGTTTTTGGATCATAATTGTACACATACACCCAGCATATGTCTAATATATATGCAAAAATCCAAGAAGCAAGAGTTACAATAGCTTGTGTTTTCTATTGTATTGTATTTTCATCTTCTTTCCATCATTGAAGAAATCTGTTCAAGTCAGTCTAAATTAATTATTGGATCATAAGCAGATAAAAATCTTATATTTGATAACACATTGACCCAATTAATATGTTTCTTTGCAAGACATGGTGCTCATTTCCAAGATAACAAGCCTGACAAAATTATACTGGAGCAAGCCCACACATAATGATAGTAGCTTTTCCTTATTGTCTTTCCTGGGACAAGAATTAAATAAAAAATAACAAGGTAGAATAAAGATAACATAAGAAAGAAGGACAGCAACAGGACATGGTAATCTTTTTCAGGGTAACATTTTGATAATGGATAATGAGAAGTAATGTATTAGACAAGGATGGGTGGGAATGATTGAAAGTCTTAATCAGTGCTAAATTATAATTTAGCACTAAGACCAAATCATTAGGATTTTAACAATTGTATGCAGTTAGCGAAGAAAAAGCCCTAGAATTTGATTGTGGATAAAACGTTCTTGGATTAGATTTAAGACTATTTTCCAGGCAAGTAAGCATATTTATGATAATGATGATCAATGTAGTGCTCAATATTTAAACAATAAAAACAAAACTAATTGCTACATATATAATGTCCTGAATACTATTATAAATGTTTTATTGTATTTTATTTAAACCGTCAGCAGCACTGTAAGGTAGGTGCTATTTTTGGCACAGTTACACAGATATGGAAATTGAGACACAGGGAAGTTAAGTTACTTGATCAATTTCAAGCAATCTGAAAGCAATGGAGCATCTACATCAGGGCCTGCCATGACACACGACTGTAAACAGAAGTTTTAACTTTTTAACTCAAAGAGGGTATGTGTATCAGTTAATGGAAAGCTTCAGGTCCCTCAGAAAACATTACTAACAAGCAAATGAAACGTGTATCTAGAAGATTAAGTTCTAACAGACCCTATTTCAATAGACTGAATAACGCACTTAGGGAGATGACTGGGCATGTTGAGGATAGGAAGAGAGACATGAAAACACAGCCTTCTATATTGTTCCTAACAGGTTTGTGTCAAACATCATCTGGCAGAATTTAGTCATTGAGAGAAGAAAGATACAGGAGTTAAATTCTGTGATCACAAAGGAGAAGTTCTACACTCAGAGCAAGCCAACAGACTTTTCTGACCTGACAACCAGGGTGGTGCAGGATGTCCAGTGCAGAGAGGAAGAAGCAGGTGGTCTCTGCAGCTGGAAGCCCACCTCCCACCCAGCTGCTTTGCATGTCCCTCCCAGCTGCCCTACCTTCCAGAGCCCATATCAATGCCTGAGTCAGAGCTCTGGGGAGGAACTGCTCACTTAGGACCCAGAGGGAACCATGGAAGTCCCAGTACAGCTTCTCTTCCTCCTGCTACTCTGGCTCCCAGGTGAGGGGAACATGAGGTGGTTTTGCACATCAGTGAAAACTCCTGACACCTCTGCTCAGCAAGAAATATAATGAAAATTTAATGTAGATCAATAATTTTGGCTCTACTCAAAGACAGTGGGTTTGATCTAATTACATAAGTGCATTTCTGTTTTATTTCCAATCTCAGATTCCACTGGACAAATTGTGATGACACAGTCTCCAGCCACCCTCTCTTTGTCTCCAAAAGAAACAGCCACCCTCTCCTGCAGGGCCAGTCAGAGTGTTAGCAGCTACTTAGCCTGGTACCAGCAGAAACCTGGGCAGGCTCCCAGGCTCCTCATTTATGGTGCATCCACCAGAGCCACTGGCATCCCAGCCAGGTTCAGTGGCAGTGGGTCTGGGACAGACTTCACTCTCACCATCAGCGGCCTGGAGCCTGAAGATTTTGCAGTTTATTACTGTAAGCAATATAACAGCTGGCCCCCACAGTGACTCAATGTGAAACAAAAACCTCAACAAGACCATCAGTGTTTACTGGATTATACCAGCTGCTCAGCTGCTTCCTTTACAGACAGCTAGTGTGGTGGCCACTCAGTTATAGAATCTCTGCTCTATTTGAACATTTGTGGTTCTTAAAAAAAAAACACAACTTCATGAACAATTTGGACTCCATTCCTTGGACTCTCTTCAACTGAGGCATCGGAATCTCAGGTTTCCAGAAGTAGTGTTTCACTGTATGAATCCTTATATAGCCCCAGTGGTTCCTAAGTTGCTCAGGAGAAGCTCAGTTCATACTACATCACTCCTTTTGAATTATGCAACATTCTAAGTAGTAGAAATTTCTATTTATTTATCTAAATAATTGACTCAATAAAAGCTATTCGTGCGAAGATATTACCATGGCTAAATAAATCCCCTTTTTTTCTTTCTTCAGGTTATCAACATTTCAGTGGTAAATTATTATTTTGGGCATTTGCCATTTAAAAGTGAACTAAATTATTTCTTCAATTTTCTCTATGATGCAGTATACTGTAAAAGAATTAAAGTCTATAAAAATAAAGTCATTATTAGATTAGAAAGAAATAGACTACTACTAATGAAGTCTGCAAATGAGCAAGTAGAAAGAGTAATAGAAGCAGTTGTTTTTATGATTTTTGTTCAAGACTTCCTTCCAAAAAAGACTTCAGTGATCACATTCATGTACTACCACCAATAATAAGACATGCTTACATTATGTAACATCTGATATGAAGCACCGAGGATAGCTCTTACCTGTATTATTCTTGTGAAAAATTAATGGTGTGAATTGAATCAATAGTCAACATCATACAAACCCAACTAGAAGGACATTCTTCAACATAACTAGCCAGTAAACTTGAATAGTTTCAGGGCTATCAAAGAGAAACAAAAGTGAAAAACTGTCACAGATTTAAAGATATTAAGGACAGGATAACCAATAAAATATGGAAACCTAAATTTTGTCTTGTAACACAAAAAAATGGCATTAATGGAAAAATCAGAAAAATCTATATGGGATTTTAAATGAGTTAACTAATAACATTATATCTATGTTATTCACATGGTTGTGATATTATACTGAAGTTATGCATGATCCTGACATTAGAGCAAGCTGGAGGAGGAGTATATGGGAACCATCTTTGCTATATTTTTCAAATTTTTATTCTGAAAGTACTTCCAAATAAATTTAAAACACATATGCACATGCACGAGTAACTAAAAAATAAGAAAAAAGATGTTTTAAAAAACAATTCCATAAGTTTCTTCCTATTTTGCACCTTTTCCTATTTCTAATTCTCATCTCTATTAGAGACAATCCTACTTCCCATTTTGTAGAGTGTAATCACTAATCTGCTCAGTTCTAGAATACACAGAAGGAAACTCAAAATTGACAGTGCGTTCCTTCATGAATGTGAAAACTAGGAATCAGGATTCTATATTTATTAAGACCTTAGTTTCTCTTAAACTGAGGGTACAGAGGTCAAGTTCTCAAGTCCAAAATTACTTATGTTAGTTCATAACCTCCTTCCATTTCAGCATGGCTATTATGTCCATTTAAATGCATTTTAGGAGGCATCTCTGTTTATGGCATCACAAAGAGTTTAATAAATCTATGCAAAAATAAACAAAAAACACACATACAAATATAAAGCTAAAAAATCAAAACTATTTTAACAATCTGAAAATTGGCAAAGCATAAAAAATTAAAAATGTATATAACTTAGAGAAAAAAGTATTAGTGTTTTGAGTAAGGACAGAAAATGTCTGTAGGTAGCCTTTTGTCTGTGACAGCACCTTTCTACCCCCAGCTCAGTCAGCATGAATTACAGAGCTGGAGTTTTACCAATATGAGGATAGCAAATACAACTAGTAGCTTGCTGCCAAAGGGTGTGGACTTGAGTCAAGCCAAGGAATGGAGTAAAATTCTTCAGTGCTTCCAGCTATACATGGAGAATGCCATAGAAAATAAACAGAAAAAACCCACAGCTTTGCTAGTCCAAGGCAAGGCCCTGGTTGGGGCAAGCAGTACACCTGCTGACAGTAAATAGCAGATTCCTGGATAAGGCAGAGCCAAATTGCGGAAACAATCTCTGTACACATTCCTGGTGACTTAGAAGCCATAGTAGATATGAGTGATGAGACCCAGGTGTGCCTGGTGCAAAGTAAAACCAGAGAGAGGTAAGAAGTGCATTTCGCATGTGCTTCTTAAGCTACACACAGATGGATTGACAGAAGATGGATTTATAAACTGCAGATATTTGAGCAAAACTCTTCTCAAATCAGTGGTGACCACTAAGCTATGGAGATACATGTGCAGTTTCTATAAATTCAAACTAAAGATTAGTATTAAGAATAAAAATAAGCAGAGATGTGTGATCAAACACCACGTGAGATATAGATTTTTCAATATCATGCATTGAAAATACATTTAATACATCTAATCCACTGAACATTATAGCTCAGCTTATCCTATCCTAAATGTGTTCAGAACACTTACATTAGCTTAAAATTGGGTATCATTATCTAACATGAATTTATCTTACATTAAAGTGTTGACTATCTCGTGTAATTTATTGGGTACTGTACTGAAAAAGAAAATAGAAGAGTTGTATGAATATTAGAAGTACTATTTCCACTTGAATGTTCATCACTTTTACACCATCTGAAAATGAAAAAAATTATAACTTCAACTATAATAAGTCAGGCACTCTCGGTAAATTCAGACAAGTAAATAAGAAGATTTTAAAATGCTCAAAAAAATAAAACAAATTCCAGGCTTAACATGGCGGTTTAAACCTGTAATTCCAGTACTTAAGGGAATGATGCAAAAGGATCACTTGAGGCTAGGAATTCAAGACCAGGCTAAGCAAAATGGTGACATCCATATCTCTAGAAAACTTTTTTTTAAAAAAATAGCAGAGAGTGATGGCATGCACCTAGAAAACCACCTACTCAGTAGGATGAAGCTGGAGGATCACTGGAGCCCAAGAGGTCGAGGCTGCAGCGAGCTATGATCACACCACCACACTCCAGCCTGGGTGACAGGGTGAGAACCTGTTTCTAAAAAAAATAAAATTTAAATTTAAAAAACCCACAATCTAAAGAGAGGTACTGACTGCATTCCAGCTTGGGTGACAGAGTAAGACTTCATCTCAAAAAAATAAATAAATAGTGGGGATTGCTACAAGATGGCTGTTTAGCAACAGCTCAGGATTGCAGCTCCCAGTGAAAGCACAGAGGCTGCTGCAGGTAATCCCCAGGCAAGCAGGGCATGGAGTGGACCTCAGCAGACCTACAGCAGAGGGACCAGACTGTTAGAAGGAAAACTAAGAAACAGAAATAACCTCATCATCAACAAACAGAATGTCCACTCAGAGACCCAATCTGAAAGACAGCAACTACAAAGACAACAGGTGGATAAACCAATAAAGATGGAAAGAAACCAGCGCAAAAAGGATGAAAACACCCGAAACAAGAACACCACTCCTCCTACAAGGGATCACAACTCCTCACCAGCAAGGGAACAAGGTTGGATGGAGAACACGTGTGATGAAATGACAGAATCAGGCTTCAGAAGGTGGGTAATAAGAAACTTCTGTGAACTAAAAGAACATATTCTAACCCAATGCAAAGAAACTAAGAACATTGAAAAAAGATTTGACGAAATGCTAACGAGAATGGACAAAATAGAAAGGAATATAAGTGAATTGATGGAGCTGAAAAACGCAACACGAGAGCATCGTGAAGCATGCACAAGTTTCAACAACCGAATTGACCAAGCA